TGGCTCTCCGCACGCACCGCTCGTTGCGAGGCCGAGCCTCGTCGCCGCGAGCCTCTGGGGCGCATGCGCAACGGCAGCCTGCTGCGTATCCCGGGTAGGTCCGGCCCGCCCGCCCCGAGGGCGGTGTTTGCGCTACATGCGTATTTTCGTACCGTCGCTCCGCCGCTGCCTCCTTCCGTACTCCAACTGCGTGGATCGGCGCCCCGCTTACACACTTTTCTCCGCAAAGTCTCTGCCTGGCCGGGTCTTCCGTTACGCAAATCGCGTACGCCCAGACCACCCACCTGTGGCAACGCTACAACTACCATCCCTTCCTCACAGCCGCTGAGGCCTCGGAGCGTGCCGCCGGCGGCGGGGGGAAGGGCGGCAGGTTAGTCCCGCATCCCGCGAGGCACCAGCCTCTTCCCTCTCCTCCTCCGCACACGCACCCGCCGCCCCGCCGAGGGAGACGGTCCTGCCACCTCGCGTGGAGCCGAGCGCGAGTGGGGCCGGGGGCCATTGTGTCCAGCCGGCGAGGTAGGCGCCCCGGGTGGCAGCTCGCAGCCCCGAGGAGCGGGAGGACGGGCAGAGGGGCGAAGCGGGCCTCCGCCTCGCGCTCTCCCGGACGTGCGGCCCAGGGCAGCGCTCCACGTGCCGTCGGCTCTTGAGGACAAGTGCGAAGGGGACGCCCGCCTCGGCACAGCGCAGCGCGCCAGGGGACGCCTGGCCTGAGGTGCCTTCGCCGGCCCGCGGACCGCTCCTGTCACACCGGCGGTGATCCGCAGCCCGTGGTAGCTTCCAAAACCCCACGGGTTCTTGAGGAGGCGCTGGGCGGCAGCGGGACGACGCCGGCAGCGGACGATCAGTGAGCGCAGTTCGTGAGTAGCAGCGCAAAGGGAGCGTGAGGCTGCTGTGCTGACTCAGTTGCCGGCTGCCTGAGCGGTCCTGCTCACACCGGTGAGGGGGACCTCGGCCGCTGGGTGACAAGCGGCAGCCGAAACTAGGTTCAGTACTTCGGGCCTCTGAAGAACCGTGATTGAAGGCAACTTTTAACTGTCTCTGCGGTGCCGAAAACAAGTGCGAAGGCGACCCTGGTGTGTGTGTTGGTGTTTACAAGTGATACAGGATAGGTAAAAAGAAGATGTCAGGTCGTCGTGTCGCTGCGGCATGTGATAGACGTCAGCTGCCACGGGGCATGGGTAGCATGGCCACCCCCCCCCCCCCCCCCCCCCCTCCCCCTGCCGTTTCTTGAGGCTGACGTGAGTAGGACTTTTGGGAGGGGGGTGGTGCGCTCTCGGGACAGGCTCGCAGCCTGCCGAGAGACCGTGCAGTCTGGCAGCGCAAGATGCGTGCGACTGTGCAGCCCAGGTGGCTGAAACCCTCGGGGAGGCCTGCGGCGCTGAGCAGCAGTGCCAGCCACTTGTTATTTCACGGCCCGCTCACGTCCCCGTGTTTGGGATCCCGGTGTCTCAGCGGAAGCAGCGTTTCGGAGCTTTGCAGCTGGGACACAAAAGAACCCCGGCCACCCCC